TCTGTCATCTATAATCTGTCATCTATAATCTGTCATCTGTCATCTATAATCTGTAATCTATCATCTGTCATCTATAATCAGGAGAGAGGTTGCGATGCAGGAGGGGCTGCAGAGGGCGGTGGCTGTGCCCTTGGCTCTGGCTGACAGGATCAGCGTCCTTTGGTCGCCTCTTAAAGAAATGGTTGTCTACGGAAACATTGCCTGCAAGTCGGACGCTCAGGTGACCAAAACCACTGATACAACCAGAAATCAATCACAATGGTTTTAGTTCAGAGAGCCAGTTTTCAAAATAAAACTTTATATAAATAAAACCTTTAATTTGAAGTTTGTGTTTCCAGGTGGCAGCTAAAGCGTTAGAGACGGCTGTTTTCGGAGCATATTACAACGTCACCATCAACCTCAAAGACATCGCAGACGACGCCTTCAAGATGGCTGTAAGTGCGTCTGCGTGCTCTGTAAGTGACGTTTGTTTAAATAAAGTTAATTAATCTTGAATAATATTTTTGTGTTGCAGACTCAGAAGAGAGCGGCGGCGTTGCTGCAGGAAGCGAAGGAAAGCGCCGCTGCCGTCCTCCTCGCTGCCGAAGAAAGAAACTGAAGTTCTTCTACAACGTTTAACCTCAGAATGTGTTTCAATTATTACTGTAGGGATGCTAACAGGAAGCTAAAGATAGGGATGCTAACAGGAAGCTAAAGATAGGGATGCTAACAGGAAGGTAAAGATAGGGATGCTAACAGGAAGGTAAAGATAACGATGCTAACAGGAAGGTAAAGATAACGATGCTAACAGGAAGGTAACGATAACGATGCTAACAGGAAGGTAACGATATTGATGCTGACAGCAAGCTAAAGATAGGGATGCTGACAGCAAGCTAAAGATAGGGACGCTGACAGCAAGCTAAAGATAGGGACGCTAACAGGAAGGTAAATGATGCTAACAGGAAGCTAAAAATAGGGATGCTAACAGGATATTGTTTATGGAAAAGGTATTTACTAAACTCAAAGGCTCTGAACGTCCTCAATTTAGATTGCCGATACATAATGAATCAATAAAAACAATACAAATAGATCAATTAATGTTCAAATAAATATACATTCACCCTTTAAACCTCCTCATTGTTCATTCATGAAGTGTTTGGATATTGATCATCGCTGTAGAGAAACTATCGGCCACCAGGTGGCAGCAGAGAACTCCAGTCTGACCGAACTCATTCAGAAATGTAGAAATTATGTTTTCTGTACTTTGCAAATTAAACACAAACCTTAAGTAACATGACGTGTGTGTGTGTGTGAGTGTGAGAGAGAGAGAGAGAGAGAGAGAGAGAGGGAGAGAGAGAGAGTGTGATTTAAACTCTCAGAAACGGAAACAGAGATAAAAACTGTTTCCGACCAGACAGGAAGTGAAGTGTCAGCTTCTTCACTTCCTGTCTCGGGGGGGGGTCATTGAGGTTCAGAGTGAGACCTCCTCTCAACTGATCCACAGTCAGTTATGAACATGAGTTTGTTTCCTTTTCATTTGTTTACCTGTTTGTTGTCGTCACCTCAATGACTTCTGAAGCTTTAATAATGATTGAATATTATATTTATTATTATCAGAGCAAAGTGCTGCTGCGGTTTGGACATTATTTAGTTTATTTAGATTTTTTAGTGTTTGTGTGTTTTGTGTGTGCTTTTAATTTGTATAATTATGCTACTTTTACTTTTTTTAATTGTGCTTTAGAAAACACAAATTTTGGGAAAAATTAATTATATGTAAATACATTTATATTTATAGAGGAAATTAATATAAATATGTAAAGTATTTTATCTAGACTGCAGATATGACTTATTTAAAATTAGATATCATTTTTTAAATACTTTTTATCTGAGAATTGTTATAAACAATATACTTTTATTTGAAGTTTAAATTGTATATATTTAGTGTACCAGCATATTGCTAAAGGCCTAATTTAATATAATAAATATATTCTACCTGAGGTTAATAATAGAAACGAAGTAGTACTACCTGTGATATCAATAAGTAATCAATGAAGTAGTACAAAGATGAATTTAATGTGAAAATACAGTTCAAACATTAATATTTTTTAAAACATGAAGAATTCAAACAAAGTATTTAAATAGAATCATATTAGAACGTTTGATGTCACTATCTTGTTAAGAGTGTAGCTGTGATGACGTCACGGTGATGTCATCGGGCAGTGATGTCATCCTCACAGTGTGGTGAATCGTGTCAGAGCGCCTCTCAGTTTATCAGCGATCTGACCAATCAGAGAGCAGAGAAGAGATGAGGTCACAAGGCTGGTCACGCCCCCCCCCCCCCCCCCCCCCCCCTCTCACCTGCTGGTAGAAGGTCACCTGTTGCTCCAGGTAAAGCTGCATCACTCTGTTGTAGTCATAGATACGGTTACTATGGAAATGATTCATCTCAGCTGGAAGAGACAGAGTCTGGTTACTAATACTGTAGTACTGTGTGTACTAATACACACTGTACTAATGCGCACTGTGTACACTAATGCGCACTCTCTGTACTAATACTGTAGTACTGTGTGCACTAATACACACTGTGTGCACTAATACTGTAGTACTGTGTGCACTAATACACACTGTGTGCACTGTTATCCTGCAGAGAGTAGCTCATGCAGCTGAGTCCATGTATATTTCTGAATGTTTTGCAGTATTTTGTTGTATATTATGTTGTGTATTATGCATATAGAGTTGTAGTACTGTGTGTAGTTCTGAGTAGTACTGTGTGTACTGTTACCCTGCAGAGAGTAGCTCATGCAGCTGAGTCGGTGGTTCATGCTCTTCTTGTCGTTGTTGCTGATTCTTCCTGCAGAAACCAGACGGTCGGCCTCCTTCACCTTCTCTGAAGCAGCCTGAACACACAGACCACGCCCCCCCAGTGACATCACCAACACCTGACATGAAGCCCCGCCCCCTCAGTGACATCACCAAAACCTCACGTGAAGCCCCACCCCCTCGTTAAAGTTAACAGGTGAGACAACGTTTTCCGTTTAAAGTACGTTAACGACAAAAATTCTTTCTTTGAAATACTACTGCGTGTTGTAGTACTACAGTGTAAGCGTTAGTAGTACTGTGTGTGGTACAAGTACCTTGTGTACAGCAATGATTTCTGGGAAACATCCCAGCAGACCTTTATATTCTCCGTTCGTCTCCAACAGGAAGTGAAGGTCCTTCTGAGGCTGATGGAGGTCAAAGGCCACCAGAGACAACACAGTTTATGTAGAAATATACTTTAAAATACATATACTTACATTATATATGTATTTATATTTATCAATGATAAATATTTTATTCTATTTAAAGGTGTTTTACCTGCTGAGCGACGATCTCTGCGATCTCCTCGTATGTTTGTCCAGCAGCAGTCAGAGCGTCAGTCAGCGTCTCCTCTCCTGAAATATACATACATATGTCTATATATATGTATACATATGTATGTATATATATATACATATGTATGTACGTATATACGTATATATATATATACACGTATATATATATATATATA